ACTCCCTCACAGCCGGCTGTCGGCTATATTTCTCCAATGCGGAACCGTGCGGCGATCCGTATGGCGGGTTACCACTGCTGTTGGTGTATTCTGCAGCGTCGGAAGAGGACGGTGACAGCTGCTGCTGCTGTTGCTTGTCAGAGGTAGACATATGCAGAGCAGTGCTTGACGGCAGGTGCCCGTGATCACCACTCTCATCCCCTGCAGCTGCACCGGTCACTATAGCCGCAGCCAGCGACACGTACGTGTTGAACGGGTCTTCCTGGATACACTGGTAGAGGTGGCTGCGCTGCACAAAGTACGGCTTGCGCAGCTCCAGGCCTCTTGCCGCCGCTAGGCCACGCAGGTGATCGCTGGCGGCAAGGTGAGACAGGCGAATGGGCTTGCCACCGACGTCGACAAACTGCAGCACGATAGCCCGGTCCAGCGGTGCCACCGACGACAAGTCCAACGCGAGATTGAACGCTGCAGGGGCGGCGGCGGTGGCGGTGGGATTGTCGTCATTGCCATTAGTAGTGGCGGGAGCATGGCCCGCGTGTATATCGTCTCCGTCTCCTGAACGCGTGTGGCCCTCGCTAGAGTTGCCGTCACCAGCTCTTCTACTATCTGTGATATCTGTGATATCAGTAGATGTAGCATGCGCTGATCGGATGCCACTATGAGCACGATATCCACCGTCCACGCTACTCTCACCTTCGCTAGCCCGTGCTGGATCCACGGTCTCCGCTGAGTCCAGAGGGGAAACATGTGTTCCCTGAGCGAGAGGAGCATCCACACATGGGGATTGATCATCGTTTACTCTGATCTCGTCTCCTCTGTTTGCAGCATCGCTGCTACTGCTGCAGCTGCTCGCCTGAGTTTGAGCGACATATTGTTGATCCATGGTTGAAGGGAGGGGAGAGCGGTTTGTACAGGCTCCTTGAGCCTCACTCTTTCTCTCGTTGCAGGTCCTCCCTGCTGAACGGTCGGTCCACCGCTCAAACGCTCAGGACAACGTCACTCGCTAGCGCGCTCTCTCCATCATCTTGCACGCACTCGTACTCGCCAAGTGCGATGACCAATCGAAAATAGCTATGGGGAGGAGAGAGCGCTAGTTTCAAAGGTGAACACTTGAACTCACGTGGACCAAACAAAGGGATCTAGGGAACAGATACGTTGGGCAACGTCTGACTGCAGCTTCACCTTGCGAGTAACGACTATGTTTAGGCTCTGGGGCGTGCAGTGACTTACCCCGCTCCAAGACAAAGAATCTGGGTGACGATGGTACTGGTGCGGATCAGACTGTCGAACGTGTCCACTGAGCCGGCGAGAAAATTATTTGCACCAGCACTCCCTGCTCAGTCATCGGATGCACTGCAAAACGATCGGCCTTGCTTTGTTGTTGCACTGTTGCCAGTGTTGGCCTGGTACATCAGATTCTGGTACTGGCAGACGTGTACATGCATGGTGGACGTAGATCTACACAATCATGGTACAGGAACGAAGCTGTGAAAAAATCACAGTCCATGCTCAGGTCAGGAGTAGATCTGCGACAGTACGAGTAGACTCTACCATCATTCAGCATCACAGCCATCAGTAGCACTCATAATGGGGCACGAGTCCGCATATCTGTAAAGACAAGTGCTGCAGAGTGCAGTCAGTGCAGGCCGCAGCTCGACAACAGAAGCCTCGAGGGCTCTCCGCTCAGCTGATCAGGACAAACCGGATCCTCACTTCTCTTTTCACTGATTTCAGGGCCCAGGCATGGCAGGCAGGCCAGAGGCAGAACATGTAAATCTACAACAGTACAACTACAAGTCATACACTACTCACATGGTCTACTGTCTACACTCAGTCATGTACAGCAGCCTGTGTACTGCAGTAGGATAGGGCTCAGCTGAGGCCAGGCGGGCAGCAAAACCTAGGACCTAGGACTCAGTAGGATACTACAGAAATCGAGGTCGACTCCGCGATGAGGCTCGAGCTCCATGATCCAGCAACGATACTTCTTGCATTTTAGAAAAAATACTCCCACAAATTTCAAACACTGCATGCGCATAATATGCATGCAATTAAATTTTTATTAGCTTTTTTCGCGGAAAAAAATCGCAAAAACGCGGGGAAAAACGCGGCATAATAGAGAGGTTAAACACGTTGCCCTTTTTCAAAACGCGGTGCAAATCTCACGTCATAATATTATTTGCGGTGACTATGGCATAATAAGAGAGAGAGGTTAAAGGGGAACTACACCCAAAAATCAAAACTTCATGGTCCGTAGAGTTTTGGACGCTGAGTCGAATGGTGAAGGTCCCACTTCGATCCGACCAAGCGTTCTTGATTATATCAGTTTGCAATTGTCCTTTTCGGGTCCGTGCCGTGACGTCACAAACCCGTGACGTCATTGAGACTTGGTGATCCTTTGGCCAGATCCAGAAACACTGGGATTTCGCATCTTCTTTCTGTTTGTCCATGGAAGATAAGGGTATTTGTGTCATCATGGCTTCTGGCTGTGTTGTTGGGTACTATAATCTTACTGGTAACCCCCCTGGGATGAACCTGCACCAATTTCCGAAGGATTGTGCTTGGCACAGGCCGAGCAGTGCACCATAGCAGCTATCAAGCGACATAATTATTTGCTTGACAATTTCGGGACTACAATGTAATTGTAAATCCTTCGCGTGTGTTCCAGCCATTTGGCAGAGGAGGATTTTCAGGAGGAATATTATGCACTCATCCGATGCGGACGCTGGTGGATGAAACTGTGGTGTGTCCTTTTTTCGCACGCCACACTGTGAAGTGTCAGTCGAAAAGCGGAGGTGAGTGCAATATTTCAAAAACACTAGCTACTGTATGTAGTTCTTTCTTTTCCAAAGCATTTGTAGAATTGTTTTGGACTACATCACTACGAAATGTGAAGCTTTCCGAAACCGGCCTGATGAGGTGGACGGCAGTAGATCTCCTGTTTCCCTAGGCTATACTGCGTGCGATCGATGAACCTGTCTATGATTGCTGTTCTTGATTTTACAGGAAGAAGATCAAGAGCGGCTGTACCATCGGTCGCAGTGACTCACTGTTGAGCTACGACCACTGCCACCGCCGAAAGGTTATAGGAAGGACTGTTTGCAGCGCCAGCGCCTCTAGCTGGCATGTTTTTTTCCTGTATGAACACACAGTATGTACTGCTGATAAGCTACATCACGCAATGACCTGCAGTTCAAGGAGAGAAGATAGTCCACATACCGGCAACAGTGTACACCTATTCGGGAACTCGTTGCGTTTTCTCAGTATGGATGCAGATGAGAGCCAGACGTTATTATTATTGTGTGTATGCGTGCACGCGCGTGTGTGTGTGCGCGCGCACGCGTGTGTGTGTGCGCGTGAGTGTGTGTGCACGAGCGTGAGTGTGCGCGCACGTGAGTGTGTTTGCACGCGCGTGAGAGACAGACATTATTATTGTGTGTGTGCGTGCACGCGCGTGAGCGTGTGTGTGCGCGCGCACGCGCGTGACACTGAGTGTGTGTGCGCACGCGCGTGAGTGTGTGTGTGTGCGCGCACGCGCGTGAGTGTGTGTGCGCGCACGCACGCGCATGAGTGCGCTTTTGTGTAATGTAATATAACATTCCAAAGATATTCACGTCATCTATTCTGTGTTCTCCTTTATGTCATTCTCTCCCCCTTGCGGGAGGGACATGGAATGACAAGTAGTAGATGCATTGCCGTTAGTGATCCTGAGGGATGTGTGGGTATGCAACCAAGTGCATGAGTGTGCGCGTATGTGCGTGCACGAGCATGTGCACAGGCACTTGTATGCTTATGCACTCGTGTGCGCACGCGCTTGTGAAATTGCGCGTCTGCGTGCGTGAGCATGTGTGACTACTATACTATGTGCCTACCAAGGTGAGCACATGTGCGTGCGTGTGTGTGGGGCGCGGCGGATATGTGCACACATTTCCGAATGATAATCAAGAAGGACAGAGCTGTTCCGGTAATGCAGTCATGAGACACCACAGTAGGGCAAAACGCACTCAATATGCTACTGTGCTGCTGCTGCTGCTGCTAGAGTGCACAGCGTAATTGTTGGTACACAGCTACGTGAAATACAAGAGAACGTCTCAGCATTCTGTAAAGACTAAGTGACAATGCAAAAGGTGAGAATGTACTTCGCCACAATACGAATTGAGGTGCAGTCCACTTATGTGAGATAAAGCACAAGTGAACCGATACACATTGCACGACTTGCACGGAGATAATGCTAGCCATGTTACGCAGCAAACTCCATGTACGAGTGAGGAGACTATTGATCTGAGTACTGTGCGAATACAAAATTTCACACAATTTACGATATGAAGAGAACGATTCGATTTGTGAGCATTACGTAGGACTATACTGTGAAAACACTTACGGATTGTCAGGCTTGTCTGAGCTGCTTTGGCTGCCGCTGCCGCTATTTCGAAATAGCCCAGCCAACCGGTTGCCAGATGTTGCTGATGGAGAGCGACTTCTCCAATTGCAGTGATTTCTGCTGCATCCACATTTACAGCCCGAATGGAAGCCACCGCTTGCGCTGCCATATCCTTTCCTGAAAATTTCGGCTCATGCCCGAAGCCAAACATTTTCAGCTCAGGCTCTGAGCTTTCAAGCTCGTCTGATACGTCGGAATCGCTCATGGTGAGGACGTCTTTGTCAGAACTATTCCTTTCACATACCAAAATACCTGTACTTCTGAGCTTGGCCCAAGCAAGTCTCAATGACGTAGAAGGGCGTGTTGGGGGTGTGTCGCGGCCGCATGACGTCATGGCGCGTCCCCCGAAAGTACAATTTAAACCGAAGATATCTCAGGAATGCTTGGTCGGATCGAAGTGGGACCTTCACCATTCGACTCAGCGTCCAAAACTCTACGGACCATGAAGTTTTGATTTTTGGGTGTAGTTCCCCTTTAAAGGGGAAGTTAAAGGGGAACTCCACGAAAAAATGAAACTTTGATAGCCTGTAGAGTTTCGGGCACTGAGTCGAATGGTCTTGGTCCGAAGTCTCTACGACGAAGCGTTCTTGAGATATTTCACTTTGAAATTGCAAAAACGGGGGCCGCGCCCTGACGTCATGCGGCCATTTGGTTACATCATCACGGGCTGCCTACGTCATTGTGGCAAAGTCGTTTCTCTTCGCCAGTCTACAAGCACTAATTTTAGTTGGTATTTCAAGGGAAGATGGGCGATTCCGAACAATCCTCTGTCCCCAGCAATGAAGGCAGCGATGCTGAGGCCAGTGAGGACGACCAACAGCCCACCGCCGCGTATGGTTGGGGCAGGGAGCCCAGATACTCTGCTGAGGAGCTGCCATCGCGTGTAACAAATGTGGAGGAAGAAGATGCGTCAGCAGCTGCGTCCGACAGAAGACGAGTAGCTTGGCCACCAGAATCTCGATTCGTTTGGGACTCAGACTGGTGCGAGCGTGGACAAAAGTGTATAGCCATGCCCAGCCCGCGGGAATGATTTTGCTGGTAGGATGCTGCCGTCGCTGTCGACAAGACGGCCCAAGGTTTCTTGCGTAGCGGACCTCGCAGATTACGAGATCGTATCCTTGCATTAGGCTGTGCTCATCACTGCTCTTCGAGGTTATCTCGACATGCAGAAGCCGCCAATGCCAGTGACAGAAGAGTCTGACATTAGGTAAGCCTCAATTAGTTTGCCTTGACTTGTCTTGTGAGGATCGCGTATCAGCATGATACACTTATTCTTATTTTTGGGGGGAAATTTATTGTTGTCAGACGCACTACAGTAGGCGTCGCACAAGAAAGACATTGTACTGGTAGGTATCACAAGTTTCATGCATGACACAAACAAATTTCTCTTTGCTCCGAGTATGTCTTGACTTATCTTGTGAGGATCGATGCGCGTAATGTTTTGTGTGTAACTAATTATTGTTGTCAGGCATAGCACGAACAACGTTGTTCTGTACTATAGACCGTGCTATCACAAGTTTTCATGCATGACTCACATTTGTCTTTGTCATTTTCCCTTGGATTGGTACAAGATCTACAAAGTATGGTAGGTAGTGTTCTGTTGGTGAAGAGAGCACTGCACACAGTTTATGAGCACCATGGGTGCATTAATTTTGATCACACCCGAACCCATACTTTATCGTTTCAAGCGATAGACTTTGTCAATAAACTCGTTTTCTAGTATACCATGGCATGCAACGTACAAGCGTGGGGTCAAGAAAGCGTACACCAAAATAATGCACAAATTCTGGCAGGAGAGTAAGAAATCTGTACTTTCTGACCAAGACATCTCTGTACTAGTAGGTAATCGAACGCGTCCTAATCAGTATTCATCCCCCAGATCATTGGAATTCAATTTGAAATCAGCAATTATGGTAAATTCTACAAGACCCTCCATCTTTGTACCAGTGGCCACTAAATTAGTATGGCGCGCGCACTGAAAGTGCAGGTAGGTACCGGTAGGTGCAATACAGCGCATATGTAGAGTAAATGAGTATTTGACTATAATAATTATTACGGTACAGCAATGTGGTATGTGTACAAGCACTCATCATACACATTCCATATGACATTCTGTGTTTGTGTAGATCTCTACGCTATGCGGCACACAGGCAGTACACACTATGTACACGGCAAATTGGGCAAGCACGTTCGTTGTCGTCTTCCAGCCTGCGTTGTGAATACGATCAGGCAAAGATATCCAAATCCTGCACCACCTCAGCCTTCTCAGGAGGCTTCCACCTGGAATTTGGCAGGGAAACACGCTTCTCCAAGGCAGGAACATGGAGGTTGCCATTTGCAACCGCTACCACCTCACACATGAGCTTGTCAACATACTCATAGCTCTTTCTGTCGTATAATTTTCTATTTGGCCACAGTCTTCTTTATGCTTTGAGAACTGGACTTTATACCTTCCTATCGCGGTCTTTTTGGTTGTGCTGTGGCGACGGTTGACATTGACGTCGTCAAGAGCTGCGAGATGTGCGTGTCCAATCATCCCCAGAATTGAGAAACGAATGCGTTTGAGAATGTAGTTTGGCATGACACTGTGATATACCTGCATGGCAAAAAGAATGTGGAGAAAACACACTTGCTTAGACAATATACTGCTGTATGAGAAAATGGAAACTTCACCGTACAGGACGACTCTTGTTCTCAATTGCATTGTTCGTTTCATTCCCTGTGTTGCCCATAAGAGACGGGAGCAAAAATGTTGCAGCAGATGTTTGTTGTCTTCTGGCGTGGAGTGGCGGCGTCATTAGATGTACACGTCATAGTCATTTCACTAAGTATACCACTACTACAGCATATGTACTATCCTTAGGCTAGCGTGCGTGCGAGTGAGTTTGAGTATGTGGGTGCGTATGTGTGTGTGTTGTTGTGTTTGTGTGTGTGCACGCACACGCACGCGCGTGCATGTGGGTGATGGTGTGAGTGCATGTGTATAATATGTGTAGTTCCCACTGTATTCCTTGCACAATAGGTCTTCACTTACTTTTCTTTCGCATACAACCAGAACCCATTCCTTGTTCGAAATTAGATTTTTTTGGCCTGGTGATCCCGCAAGCGTGGAACTCGGAGTGTAATATATTTTTGTTTCACTTTACTTGCACTATTCCAAGGCTGTCCAGACTTCTAACAACTGCTCTGAGTGATATGGTATTCATGCAACCATGCCTAGAAGTAGGGTAGCTGTTATAAATAGAGACATATCCACGCAATCAACTTACACTGGTTCAGTTTGGCAGGATTGGTGAGACAGTTCGTCGTGCATGCTGCCTGCACATCGCAAGCAAACAGTTCTGTAACCTTCGTACTTGCTGGGGGTCTGTCTGTTTGCGTCCCAGTTGATGACAGATGTGCACAGTTTGAGTACTGGTATGCGCAAAGTTACTGGGGTAATATCGTTCATCAGCTAGCTGCAGTCGGAGTTGATGGGGTGATGTACTCTTCTGATCCTGATGGGACGTATCTCGCCCTGCTTTCTCAGTTGCAGCTTGTTGAGTTCGCTTTGCTGGAGGCTCACGGTTCGGAGGGCACTGGTACACTGATGAGGGCTTTGCTGGACGGCGTACTCGTCAAAACTCAGCTCTCAAGTCCCTCTGGATCATAAATGCAGCGAGCAAACATAGCTCGTGCTGCGAAAATAGGCTTGAAATTTTCACGACGCATTGCAACATCTCGGCGCTTTGCCAGGTCTCCATCCTTTGGGAATTTGAGAAAACTAACCCCAGGAGGATGATGTGATACTGGCACAATCAACAACACAACAATTTGGCATTGCAGCGGCTCAGGCGACTTGGCAAACTACTTTCTGAAGTGACTTTCGTCCTGAAGAAAGTGAGATTCAAAATCCAAGTATTTTCGCACATTGCCACAATGACGTCACACATACATTGGTATGGGGCGTGGCTAAAATTGAAATATCTCAAGAACGCTTTCTCGTAGAGACTTCGGACCAAGACCATTCGACTCAGCGCCCGAAACTCTACAGGCTATCAAATTTTCATTTTTTCGTGGAGTTCCCCTTTAAGGCAAAAATTAAAATTTCACCAGTTGTAGTCTTCGCGTTCGGGGTGCTGAGTCGAATGGTCTTGGTCCGAGAAAGCTGAGACGCTCCCTTCCTACTTGAATCCCAATCGAACTCGCGCACTTCCACTGAAACTGGGTGACTGCGCCCTACGAGATGGGGATGTTGTGCGCCATCTATGGATCTGCCACATCGATCGATTTTGCTGCGCGATCTGTCGATCGACAGATCGCGCAACGATCGATCGATCGCGCAAAATCGATCGATCGCGCAACAAAAAAAAGAAACCAAATCGATCGATTGTGAGCTGGGCGCGGAGTAGGTATTTTACTACTCCCTTGTGAACGGCATCATCGTAATCAGTACTCGCACTGGTACGAGTACTTGGCGACTGGCCGCACACCACTCAGTAAACAGTAGATGACGATTCTTTGAAGAAGTAATGGTTGACGTTGTCGAACATTCAGACCCACTGGAGGCGTTCCACAGCCTGGAGCCCGCTGATAAGGATTTTGATGTGACTTGAGTAAGTACTAAAGTGATGTCAACACTAGTTCTACGTACTCTCAGTCTCTCTCTCTCTTTTTTCGGCGTCAGACATTGAGTGGGAGATATAGATGACTGGATTTCGTTTGTAAAATAATGAGTAATTTCTGCAATTTGTGATCGAATCAGCATGCTGTCAGCTGTACCAGTCCACATCCCATCGTAATCAGCGACCAGGCCAAGCGTGATATTTGCCTTGGTATTTCACTATGTGTGGTGAGAAGACGTCCATTCACGTCTGAGAAATTCATTTGCAAATGGGAAATCAACAGGCCTGTATTAGTATGGGCAGAATTCATCACCCGGGCCGCTATTGAAGCTTTGCACAGTTGTCAATGTCCAACGGCCTATTTATACGAAGACCTGTGATGGCTACGTGATTCTCTTAAACCTGTGATCATGTTTTCCAAGATCATTTCAGTAGCAGACATATGAAACGCTACGCCGGGCCTGAGCCCGAGGCAATGTACGGACGTGGCCGTGCTGCACTGAACCGCGTGGCATCATCGTCACGTATGATGGAGTCAACATGACTGCGCCCTGCATATGCATCATACATCTGATAGTACGTTTATTGCCCTATCCTTGGAGAGTGGGCCACCAGGGAAGGCTGGGTTTCCGACTTGGCTTCACCTATAATGCTCATGATTGAACACGCTCTTGGAGAATAAATGTAGAATCCGGCTGAACATTGAAACCAGATAGCATCGCGTTTCTGCGCTGCACCTCACAACACCATTGACATACAACCAGGAAGAGCTGGGAACTTGAGGGAAGTGACGGAAAAGTCAAAGAGGAAGTGAAGAAGATTGAAGAAGAGGATCAGTAATCATCAAGGAGGCCAAAAAGAGGTCATCTACGAGCCAAATGGCTCTTGATGTGATGATGTGCAGGCAGGTATGCTGGAATTGGATAGACTCTTTTGGTCAATTTTTGGCCTATCCCACATCTTTCTACCGCAGCTCTGGCAGATTGATTGGTACTATACCCCTGAATTTATACATTTCTGAGCTCTGTGACACGTTACCTAGCTCGTGAATGTCGTCTTTCAGCCATTCATCATTGCTTATTTTGACATTTGATGAGGAGCCGATCATGACTATTTTTGAGGATGCGCATGTCAGAACGCTTTGTTGTGACATGCTCATCTAAAGGATTTTGCAACTGTTTCTATTGAATACCTATAATAGTAGTACGAAATAATTAGGGCTCAAACGGTCACGGTTTTACCCCGAACGGTTAACTGCTAAGCTAACGGTCGGTTTAACGGTTATAACCTATAAGCCATGGCAATCCTGCGGACTCTTTTTTAACCGTTTATTTGACTATACTCATTCAAAAAATGTACCCTATTCAGTGCAACGCACACATGTATATTCTCTTGCATGCTCATTCATACATACTCTCACACGAAGAGACCAGATATGACCGAGTTGACAGCCCAGAAATTGCGTACGCGTGCGACAGGCTGCAAAAGTGCATACTTTGCAACGACCTGATGCATGAAAAATTGACTGAAAAGTTACTGCGTAACCGTTATCTTTATCGGTTAACCGTTAATTCTTCGTAACCGGTCTGCAACCGGTTAATCGGACTAACCGTTTGAGCCCTAGAAATAATGGTTGCGACTTTGGCGATAATTATTACGAAAGGGTTTGCTCCCCACACTGGAGCTCGCGCTATTCCGTCGACTTGACAAAAATACCCGAGCCCGCTACCCGACCAAACCCCTACCCGTTGCAGCCCTGATTTTTTTTCGTCGGACTGGCCCCTTTCCATTCCCTCAACAAACAAAGGAATTATATAATGAACACTGGATCACTTATTATTCTGCTCGGTGCATGGACCAGTACAGGAACCGACACTCAATACAGTCAACTTCGCTTATAACGACACTCGGCAGGGCATCAAAAAGGTGTCCTTATTCATGAAGTGTCGTTATACCCGAAGTCTCATTATTATGTATTACAGTGGGATGGGACTTTGCTCTGGGCATGGAAATTCTGTCGTTATTCGCGAATTGTCGTTATATCCGCAGTCGTTATTAGCGAAGGTGACTGTACTTACTGTTATGTTGATGGATGGATGTGGTTTATAGGATCGCTCTTCCGAACGAGAACACTGTTTCTGGTTCATTGAAGTAGGGATACTGTGCATGTATTATAATGTGCATGCTTAGCTACAAGATGAAATGGATCCAGCCATTGAGTAAGAGAAGAGTTTCAATATTTTAATTCTATTAAAGTATACACCCGGTTCCAAAATAACGCACGTGCCCTTGCATACGCCCAGGAAATCGAGCCTGCTATTATATACACCCGGGACCTATACACGGGCTTTTACGGTAACGTTATAATTATCTCAATGTTCCGGGTACGGCTATTTACCATGATGTGGGTATAATACTGGACATACATGTAGTCTGTTTTCTATTTTGCTGCTCCTTGTTCTTTGGTGCGATTGGTGGCTCGGAACAGGCAGACATTATTTACCGATATAATCGCACAGGTCACATTGTAGAGTGCAGACCACCTAGTGCTTTGAAGATTCACTGCGATATTCCCATAATGTTATAATACATGTATGAAAATCAGCATCATTTTCTGTATGTTAAATGCCACAAATTGTTAGGCTTCACCGTAATATCAAGAGTACATAACCCCTCTTGGTAATATCCATGTTCAGTGTTCCGTTCACATCGGTTCATGCTGATCACCCGAAAGTGTCGTCTAAACAGGATATAGGGGTGTGCGGATAATGCTCGAAAAGGTGGGAGATTCTGCTCGAAAAGCTGTGAAATTGGCAGAACCATACAAACCTTATGGCGGGCAATTCCTCGA